ACTCACATACAAATGACCTCAAGTTCTCCCCAATGTCCTAATATGTTCTCAAGTTCATCCATGTCAAATTTCAAGCCTTGCAGAGGAAGTTTGGTCAGTCAATTGCTCAAGAGGTTCAAAAATCGACTATGCTAGGGCAAAAGTCAACTGTGACCCAAATACAGTCAAACCTCAAGTTTTTTTGTCAACATTCTCATTTTGAAGGATAATTAATCATTTTATCAAGGGTTTATCATGATTCATCAAGGATTGCTCAAGATTCATCAAAATTCAAAAGTTACTAAATTAGGGTTTTGTAGGAAAAGTCAACTCAACTTTGACCAAGCATAACTTTCTCATAGTTTATGAGAAATGACCCATCCAAAGCTCATTTTGAAGAGGATGCAATTTCCCACAATCCATCTTCACACCCCAAGATCAAGAAATGCTCTCACAAAAAGTTACAAATTTGGACATTATAGGTCATTTTTGAAAGTTAACAAAAATACCTTTTTTACCAAAGCTTATAACTTGAGCATGGAACATCAAATTGATATGATACCAACAGGGTTGATTAGAGGACATCTCAAGGTTTCTAAAAAGTCTAATAACACATCCAAAAGTTCAAAATTGAAGAAGTTATGCATTGTTGAAGTTAGGCATTTTTCCAAATTTGCCAAAAGTCAACTATCCTCAAAACTACAATTTTTGACAAAAGGGCCCACTTTTTTCCACTTGATATGGTTTTGTCATGCCACACACGTATCCCATATTTGATTTCATGGCCATTCATTTATTTTTCTATTTTATTTAATTTTTATTGATTTAATTCATTTTTAATCAATATTAAATCAAATAAAATCTAAAAATTGATGAAATAATATCTTTGTGATTGGTACAACTTTCAATTGTCATGATTCATCAAATAAATTCGTATCAAGGCTTATTCATACATAAAAAAAAAAATCAGATTTGAGCTATTTTGGGAAGTTTGATAATGGTGATCAAAATCAAATCTTCCATCTTCAATGCATATGGATTATGGCCCAAGTTTTGACCTAAATTCATTCTATAAAACTCACACAAGCATTAGGGATCAAGAACACGCAAAAAAGCATTGCAGAAACGGCCAGAAGAACTTGAGAAAAAAGCTTGAAAACCTTGGATCTGAAATCGTTCTTAGAGGCCTTTTCAGGATCAAATAAAGGTCCCAATCGCTTCCTTGCACTTCACTGAAGCAGTACCAATCATAATCACGCGTTCTCCTGCCTCCAAAAGCCCTGTAAGTGTCGCTCAAAACCGCTATACTCACGGAATCGTAAAGCTTCAGTCTTGCATCCATTCTTTGAGATAATTGCATATTTGAATTCCTTACATCATTTGCGAAATTTCTGCATTAATCAATTTCATTATCATGCCATATATCACAAAATGCCATTGTAGATTGTTTTAGGGTTCTTTCAGGGGTTTTCATTACAGGGAAAATTGGTCAATAAAAGGACCATGGTTAGAACCGGGGCGGAGAGGCGAGTAGAACTACGCCTTTAGTTTGCATTTTGGTGGCTCGTGGTGGATTTTGAGACAGCATGACGTATAGCTACGTACAATCGTCTGTTGGTATAGGTAAAAGGACTTTTAGCCACAGTCCCAATGACAGGGATGATAGCGTAGCGTGGCCAGATTGGTGCGTTTGAATAGCGCGCCATATTTTCTTATTTTCTAGCATATTAGTTGATTTGCTCATATATTAGTTATTTCTTATTCTAATAAGAATTGAACAAGCTGGTTGGATTGGTGACCGTGCTATTGGAAAATCCCTTGGGACCTGGGTTTGAACCCCAGGTCCCCCAAAAATTTATTCAATTTTTCTTCAGGTGTTCACATGTAGCGCCTAGAATGCAGCTCACCATATGCCCTTCTCCAGATGCTAGCCAGATGGTCTCAGATCAGATCCAGGGGCCCAGATTGCACGCTCATCATACTCCCTGGTCAACAAGCACGCATTGAATCACAAAAGTCCAACAAGGCTGGACATTCTGGGCCTCAAAAATTGCTGATCATACACCCAGATCAGGCCCACACCCCCTGAGTATTTCTTTTACATTTTATTTCTTTTTCCTTATTTATTTATTTTGTTAAATATTATTATTATTAATTAACCAATTAACTCTTTTTTCATAAAAATCAGAAAACCCAAAATAAAAATAATATTTTTATAAAATCCATTAATTTCATTATTTATTTTTGTAAATAAACATTAATTAATTAATTTAGTTTAAATAGGTTTAACAATAATATATTTTGCAATAAATTAAAATCAAAGTAGAATATTAGGTTTTTAATATTTTTAATCATTCTTATTTTTTTTGCCTTAATTAAAATTAAAAAAAACCAAAAATATTTTCATTTAATTAATTAATTCAATTATTAACTTAGACTAATTTTTAATTCAAAAAAAATAACAAAAAAATGCTTTATTTAATAAAAACGGTCAAAACCCTAAGACACTCCGATTCAATTTTCTCGCGCGCGTATTATTTTTGATCCATATCTCAATATTGTAACTGCTTCGGGAATGTAATAGTTTAACTTAGGGTTTTATTTATTTATTTATCGCTTTTATTTACTTTTCGCAATTTAATTTTAAAGGGTTTGTCTTTGGCGATGTAAATACCCGACGCCTTGTAATAGCTTAGATTTAATTTCCCGCAATTTAATTTCCGCACAATATTAACTTTTAGATGTTTGATAAATAGGTAATGCATGACAAGATTAATTTTTAAACTAAAATCAACATAGCTCACCATAACATGTATAAAGATAAAAATAACTGAAAATAATACACTCGCACATGCGCACTCTTAGGGTACGCCTCACTTGGTTGCCTCGAACGTGGTCATTGAGTATAGGAAGTTTTAGAGGTCGCCCTCTTGTCCAAAGATCATAGTTGCCTCGAAACGGTTGCCTCGGAAAAATGATCTAAGACATTAGGATTACCGCTAAGGCGTCCTAACATTGCTTTAGTGACCACACGTCCCTTAATAGAATTGACCCGAAAACCCCAACGACGATGCTACCTACTCCTCAATAGTGGGATAGCATTGTCTAAAGAACATTAGCACAGTTTAATTCCTTTTTCGAGTAGGTAGATGGTTCTTAAGTACTTTCTCCTTTTAAAACAAAACAAAACTTTTCGCACTTAAACTCCTTTCAAACAAAAACTCTTTTCAAACCCACAAACACAAAGAAAAGCAAACTTTTGAAAACACAATGAGCAAGTACCTAAGAGCCCTTGGATAACCACAGATAGAAAGGGTGCTAACACCTTCCCTTTCTATAATCTACCTCCTGAACCCGAGAAATATCTCAAAAAGGAATTTTTCTGTGCTTTTGTCCTTTCCTTGTTGGATAAAATAAAAGACGGTGGCGACTCTTGCTTACCGCGACATTTTGCGAAAACAAACGCAAAACGCAAACCAACATTCCAAAAAACAGTCAGTTCTATTCCCACCGATCACAATCAGCATCGGCAAATGCGAACTCCTGACAAACTGTGGGGGTTCGATTACAGAACCCTTCCCCACTTGACGGACTCGATACATAAGAGCTGGCACAACTTTGAAGTATCATGGTGCGTCATGAGCTTAGGATGACATAGACAAAATTGTGGGGGTTGATTGTAAACCCTCCCCGCTCGCCTCTTTTTGAGGACTTATCATCTGTACATATGCAGGCACAAATATAAACACACGAGCGGAATACCTACTTAAAGGTAGGGTTTTAAATAAACCACACAGAATGCACCCAATGCGGAATTGCCCTAAACGGGTCTTTAAATAAACCAGATGGATTTCTGACATGATCAGCAACAGAGATCCCCTTCATATATCTCTATCCTACTTCTCGTGGCATCAGAAAGCAGTAAATCCCTACTTCTCATAATCTCTAGAAAAGAAATAAAGAAATGTGGTAAAGTGTGGAAATGAGGAATGAAAATGAAGCCACGACGATCCTAACGGAGAAGGTTTGTTGCCTCTTCAAAACCATGCAAGCGATAAGAAAACTCTACAGAAGCTACTTCACACGAGTGATCAAAGAATTAATCTCCAAGTATTCCACATTACGAATGTTACATCGATATTTTATCACAAAATCTTGGCTAAAAATGACAACAAAAATGATTATCAAACATGAAAATAATAGAAAACTCTGATGAAAATTCTAAGGAAAGGTCTTAAAAAATTCTAAAATGTTCTATCACTTTCTTTGTATCATTTCCATCATTAAAGTCATGGAAAAAATGAAGCTAAAACTAATAAAATATGGGAAGGTAAAAGTATGGTAGAAACATAGGGGTGTATTGCTAAGCCCAGGAAGTGTGAGGACCAGGCCAAGGGTGTGAATAGAACCCCAAGCGCATCAGACCTAACCCACACAACAAGCATGGCCAAATTTTTATTCTTCATTAATTCTGATTATAAAACAAACAAAATAAAATAACAATAAAAAATATAAAAAAATAAGAAAAGAATGTTGCGATTTCCGGCGGCCGATTCAACCTTCTTTTATGATGACTCGTCTCAAACCTCAGCGAAACAACAAACAACCAATATAAATATTTCTCTCCTTTGAACGCTGATCATGAATCATACCATGGATTCTTCTAATTTCTTATTAATTGGTGAGATTGAAAAAGGGGATTTATGAACCCTAAATCCTCCAAGCTAATGATTCCACTCAAAAGATAACGTAAAGGTCCGAATCTACCTCTAATGGTGACGATAATGATAAATTTGTTCAAGGTACTTACTTTCCTTCACTTTCCATTGTTTCTTCTCTCCTCTTTTTCTATCTTCCGTTATTTCGCAAGAATCGTTGTTACTGTGGCAATGTTGATTTTGATGTGTAGAATTTGCACGTCGTTGATGAAGATTATCGCGAGGCTGGAATATGTGATTCACAGATGAAGACGATGTTGAAGCGTGATTTGTAGAAGAACTGTGAAGTTAATTCAGTGAAAGATGAAAGCAATCTTTCAGGTTTTGATTTTCGTTAGTGATGATGATTGCAGAGGAATATTGAAGAATTCTTGTGATGAAGTTGTGATGGTGGTTGGAGGCAAGTATCTGAGGGAGATGAAGATTGAATTGAGATGCAGGTTGATGGAGAGTGAAGGTGTTGAAAGATGAAGGTGATATGTTGGTTACAAAGATGAAGATATGAAGAGGAAGTAGAGAGAATGTAGAGATATTTTCTGGAGAATGAATAATGAATCCTTTGAGTTTTTTTTTGTGATTTTTTGGATGAATAATCATATCTTGAGATTTTGTGAATGATTCCCATCTCTGAGTTTTTTCTTGTGAACAATGAGTCGTGTATCTCCCCCTATTTTCTGTTTTTCTTCTTTTAGAAGTTTGTTAGAGAGTTAGAGAAGTTAGTTTTCTGTTAGGACATTTTTTCTGTTATATCTATTATGCAGACTACTGAGGATTTTCGTTATTCCCTTCTGATTTTCTGTTATATCTATTATGCAGGCTGCTGAGGGTTCGTTATTACCTTTTTATTTTTCAATTGATGTTGAGCTGGCAAACATTTATGTGGTTGATTTTTGAAAGTTGAAGTTTGGTTAGAAATTCTATTTCGTTTTTGTTCGTTATTCACGGACTGGTTCATATGGTATGGGGTTGTTTGTGAACCCTTCTTTTTTTTTAGTTTAACACTGATATGTTGAGCTGTGATTTTCTGACTTAATTCTCTGCTTAATATTTTTGTTTCTTATTTTGTTTAATTTCTCTCAATGACATATGCAGGGCTGATCATTCTGATTGAGTGATGTTAAGAAACTTGGGATATATCAGCTTGCGGCTGAAATTTGTTATATTTTGTTATGAATGCATTCCCGATTTTCATTCCATTTGTATTTCCTCCTTGAACATGGTTGTGAGACTGGTGAACTGGTTTGAATGATGCATGTGGTTTTTGGATTGCTTTTTTTTTTGTCATTTTCTGTTATGAACAATACATGGCTGCTAACTCACTGTTCCAGAATGTAGACTGTTTATGCAGGTTGTGAGTTGTTGTGGTATGCTCACAGGGATGCACATTGATGTTATCTTAAGGAAGCTAAAAGTCATGAAGTATGGTCTAATTAATATGTGTCAAGGCCAAGGCATTGGTACCGGATATCATGGCATTGAAGAACGTTTTCTATGAAGTTAGGTGAAGATTGAAGGACAATGAAAAAATAAGCTCGATCAAGTAGATTAATACAAATATTTGAATCTTTTAACTCTGCATCCTTGATATGGAAATAATACTTGAATTTGAAGTAAATTCATAATGAGGATGAAGTTTAATTATGACTTGAATTCCAAGCAATCTCATGTATAGTCCTTTCGATTTTAACTTGATACTTATCCGAACATTATGACCAAAACATATGCTCTTGGATAATTTGAACTCAAGGCATCAAGTAATCAATCCAAATCGATCGATTCTCAATAAAGGCCTATCTCCAATCTTATCCTCCAATCTAAACCAATTCTTGCATGATAAGCAATAAGTATTTGAAAGAATGATGATAAATTCGCTAATCATGTATCGTACCATGGCTCTCATTCTTAGCGATTCAAACCACATGATATCCTAATCTTAAAACAAAATGAATGCTCTTGGGAAATCCTCAAAGGTGTGTGACACCTTTCATGAAAACCCTAACCAATCCTCCATTAATGAAAAGTTGATCCACATTAAACATGAATCAAAACCCTAATTCCACCGCTCATTACTTGAAGAAGAAATCAGATGGAATCAGCTTTATTGGATATATACATCTCAGTCACTACGAAACCCAAATATTGTACAACCAATGAACTTTGAACCTCTGGCGCTTTATTGAATTCAATTTTATATTAGATGACCTAATGAAAGATATGCAGATGAAATGAGAATTGTAAAATGCATAAGCCAGGTAAAAGTAAAAGGGTAGGATAAATATGGGGTATTACAGCTGCCTCTATTAATCGTCTTAAACCTGAAAGTATGATTGGCGCGTGCCTTTTGGATGTTCAAGGTAGAAGATGATTAAATATCAATGCCAAAAATTTGTTCTGAGGGAAAGTGTGAATGTTTGTTTATTTTTATGATATCTGTATGGGAAAAGAAATTTTTTCCAGGTGAGAAAGATTTAAGGGTAACTTTTAACATAGGGACGGTGCTAATACATGACGGAGACCAGACATATAACATAGCAACAGAGGCTAATACAAGGAAAGGTAATGACTTGAAACATGGCGTGATGTCAATACAAGGAGAAAGATTGGACTTGTAATGTGGCATGATGCCAATACAAGGACAAAGAAGACTTGTAATGTGGCGTGATGCCAATACAAGGACAAATAAGACTTATAACATGGTGTGATGCCAATACAAGGACAAAGAAGACTTGTAACATGGTGTGATACCAATACAAGGACAAAGAAGACTTGTAACGTAGCATGATGCCAATACAAGGACAAAGAAGATTTGTAAATGATAACGCGAAATTATATCGTATACTTGACTTGACTCGCATGCATTTTAGTTTCGTTTTCGTTTATTCTTACCTTGTTATGCCGGTACTTGTATTTCATTTCAAGTATTTTTATACCACAAGGCTTGCATGAGAAAAGAGGAAGAAATGGCAAAGAAATGAGTTGAAAATCACAAAGTAGCAGAAAATTCTTATCAGAAGGTTGTGACGGTCGTCACACCTCCCTTACGCTCGACACAAGTTAAATATGTGTGTCCCTCGACACACATGGAATTACGACCTACACAAGTTAAATATGTGTGCCCCTTGGCACAAATGGCATGACGACCAGCACGTAATGAAAATATGTGTGCCCCTTGGCACACAATGCATGCCACTCGTCACAGGCTATTTTAAATAACTTAATTAATTGGTTCTCTCCACATCTGTAATGAAGCTCCCATGATTTTCTCAACTTCTTCAATCATGATCTCCATTATCTCCACGGTATCCAACTTTCCACTATCTTCACCTTCTTTAACTTCACATTATCTCCACTACTTCTCTCATGAATCCAAAAGTAACTTCCATTAGTTCTCACTATAAAACGTATCGAGCATTCACTGTTTGGATATCCAAGTTTATGCGTGGAAGCGTTGTTCTTAGTTTTAGGCAGAAATTACTTTTGTAAAAGTGGTAGTTTCTCACATCGGGGAACTACCACACCACTAGTACTAGGACTCTTTTATGTAACTTTTGTGTAACTTGCTTGGATCAACAATCTTGTCGTTATTATTGAAGTTATTTCTAGTTTGCATTTATTTTCATATCTTTTACAGGTTCTTTATCATATTACTTATTATTATTATTATTATTATTATTATTATTATTATTATTATTATTATTATTATTATTATTATTATTATTATTATTATTATTATTATTATTATTGTTATTATTATCATTATTATTATTATTATTATTATTATTATTATTATTATTATTATTATTATTATTATTTATCATTATTGCTTTGTTTGTCAAATTTAATTACCATGTTGTTTTTAATTGCAATTGTTATGTTTAATTTGTTTTCAATCAATAGTATGTCGGCTAAATTACTTGGAGTCCAGTATGTGAGAACCGTCATTTCTGACGGGACTCGGTTACGAGTTGGCTTATTATATATTTGAAAATTCAGTTTCGGTCTTTGTTTTTAAACTTAATTTAAATAGCTTTGTCATGAGAGTGAGAGGTTACTAACACGATTTTGCCACGAGAGTGGGAAATTACTAAGGTTTGAGCCGACACTGTGAGAGCGTGGGGGTCGAACTGGATAGTAGAAACTAGACATTAATTTTAAACACAGCGAGAGTGCTTTAGAATTAATTAGAACTTGTTCAGTTTCCAAAACACATTCCTTAATTAAAATGGGCGAGCGAGAGCAAAATCTCATTGTTAAGGAATGCAGCTTTATTCAAAACCACGAGAGTGTGAGGTTTACTCTTTAAATTGATATTTTCTACTAAATAAATTTTTAACATCAGTATAAGCCAAAGAGTTACAGAGTCCCAGAGGTACGCAAAATACAGATTCGGTTCTCTCTTTTCTTATATATTTCCTTAATCTTATTTTATTTCAGTTTTAGTTCTTCGTTTCCCCTAAATCAATTATTCTTTAGCCTTACCTTTACAAAGCGATGATAAATTACAGTAGGTTGATATTGGTCTCTGTGGGTTCGACAATCTTTTATATTACTTTGATATTTTTGTGCACTTACGGATGCATCAAGTTTTTGGCGCCGTTGCCGGGGACCAACAGTCAATATTGTTATTTTTGTTGTTGCACCGTATAGACTAAGGCACACTAAACTTAATTATTATGTATCACCTAAATTTTTTCTACAACTCCCATTCTCAGTATTTCGAGGAATCATAAGAATCCCATAAATCCGACCTCAGAATACTAATGGAGTATTTCAATGCATCACTAACTCACTCTTGCCCAAATTACCTTAACTACCAATCCCAACATTTTAAGGAGTCGCGAGAATCCCATAAATCCAATATCGAAACATTAATGGAGGATTACAATACGATGCTAACTTATCCCTAACCAAATTTCCTCTACAATCACCACACCCAATATTATGAGGAGTTGCAAGAATCCCGAAATTCCACTCTCGACACATTAATGGAGGATCTCACTGCAACACTAACTCACTCTAGGATAGAAACCATGATGACAAAGAACTTTGTGGAGACACAAAATGCGATGCAAACACACTTTGAGGAACTGCGAGAATCCCATAATTTAAATCTCGAAACATCAATGGATGATTTCGATGCGATGCTGACTCACTCTAGGCTAGAATCTATGATAGAGAACTTTGTAGAGATCCAAACTGTCCAAAATGAGGAGTTAAGAAAACAAAGTCTTCATAATAGTGAAACCCTTAGGTAGCTGAATAATGTGGTTGAGTCCCTCGTGATTCACAACATGGCCTTGGAGACTCAAATCTCCTTGCTTGAACAAAAACCTCTAGGACCCTTCCTTGAGGAGCATGTGGATGTTGTAAAAACTGATAATGAAAAACAAATTGAAAATCCTAAGGCGAGTGATAATGAGGTTGAAGAGAGTACTAATGAGGTTTAGAATATTTCTTATGAGAAAAGAGTAGAGATTAAGAAGGGGATGTTAACATTCGAGATGGTGGGGGAAATAACTAAGTCCAAACTTGAAAAGATTATACTCAAGATAGATCCTGAACCACCACCACAAGTTCAAAAGAATGAACCACCCTATAAAAGAAAGAAAATAAAAGGTGAGAGATATGTGAGATGGCTTGACAAGTGGTCATGGAAACCAAAAACGATTAAAAATTTGATCGAGGAGTCATTCTCTAGAGAATCACCATGGAAACCAAAAACGATTAAAAAATTTCTACTAAATATATTTTTAACATCAGTATAAGCTAAAAATTCAGAGTCCCAGAGGCACGCAGAATACACATTCAGGTCCCTCATTTCTTATATATTTCCTTAATCTTATTTTATTTCAGTTTTAGTTCTTCGTTTCCCCTAAATCAATTATTCTTTAGCATTAGCTTTACAAAGTGACGATATATTACAGTAGGTTGATATTGGTCTCTGTGGGTTCAACAATCTTTTATAGTACTTCGATATTTCTGTGCACTTGCAGATGCATCAGTAACGGGGTGTGATGTCAATACAAGTAAAGTTTGGGCTTGTAACGTGGCGTGATGCCAATACAAGGAAAAGGTTGGACTTGTAACGTGGCGTGATGCCAATACAAGGAAAAGGTTGGACTTGTAACATAGTGTGGTGCCAATATAAGGAAAGGAAGACTTGTAACGTGACGTGGTGCCAATAAAAGGACAAAGAAGACTTGTAACATGGTATGATACCAATAAAAGGAAAAGGGTGGACTTGTAATGTGGCATGATGCCAGTACAAGGAAAAGGTTGGACTTGTAACATAGTGTGGTATCAATACATGGACAAAGAGGACTTGTAACGTAACGTGGTGCCAATACAAGGACAAAGAAGACTTGTAACATGGTGTGATACCAATACAAGGACAAAGAAAACTTGTAACATAGTGTGATGCCAATAAAAGGACAAAGAATACTTGTAACATAGCGTGATGCCGATACAAGGAAATGTTGGACTTGTAACGTGGCG